CCCCCCCCCCCCCCCCCCCCCCCCCCCCCCCCCCCCCCCCCCCCCCCCCCCCCCACACACACACAAGGGGACTTAGTGTGCTTCATGTTGTTTGCTATAGAGCTAAGGCTGTTTCAATCATAGATCACCTCGCCTGGGTGGAAAAGGTGGAAGTTCACACACACACACACACACACACACACACACACAGTGGGTATTTGCTGAGAGAGAGCGAGATCGAGAGCGGGAGATAGATAGATAGATAGATAGATAGATAGATAGATAGATAGATGGCTAGATAGACAGATATCGTCAAACAGAACTGACCGGTAAACCGTCGGAGAGAGGGAGAAGTTCACCGACTCATCAGAAGGCTGAACACTCAACAGTCTGCAGAATCCCCTAGCTGATTACTCTGCATGTGACAATCCACCTTAACCCCGGTTGTGGTTAAGCATCAACGACTGCCCGACAACTGATACCCTGAGGTGGGCACCAACCACTGCCCTCAAGGTACCTGTGACGAAAATCAAACCAGACTATCACTCACCCACACCAGATGGAAAGCTCTACAGACTGTCGGTTCACACCCCATCACAAGCCAGCAAAACACCCACGAAACAAAGAAAGGTCTATCACATAATCACAGAGGAAAAAATACACTCCAGACACGCCGCTGGCACTAGAGGCACAGCATGGCTGCATAGTGACAGCCTTGTTTCTTAATCTTTACCGTTTGTTTCACAATGTGCGCTCTTTTGGTCATAGTTATGTGCAGGGTTGCACCCCCCGAGAGTCGGTGGCCCTTGACTGGTCAGCTGCCGACCCGCCGACCGATCAAGTCTGTGTTTCAACAGTTGAGGGGCGTTCCAACTGAGCTAGACCCGCTGCTACTTCTTCTTCTTCTCCTCCTCCTCCTCCTCCTCCTCCTTCCTTCTTCTTCTTCTACTGCTGCTGCTGCTGCTGTTGCCGCTGCTGCTACAACTATTAGATGGAGGAAAAAGAAATGTTGGCTTAGTGCGGCGTACTTCTTTCTGGTATGATGTGCCTTAAACCGCCAGTACACGGCCCCAGCCTTGCAGAAAGTTTTTGTCTCCACAAGCAAAACTCGGAGCTGCAGCGTGGCCCTCCGCGCCGTTGAAAAAGAAAAATCGGCGGCCTCCGAAGTGGTGCGGGTTTCATGTTGACACCCGCGGGCCAATGTGGGGTGCACTGGTGCCTTAAGGCTTAAACCAGTTTCCTGACCACTGCTGCTCAGAGCCTCGGGCAGTTGGTTGGCTGGTGCTCAAGAGCTTGCCTTGTGTTGATTTTCTGTGTGACTGATGATGATTGATTTTGCATGCAATAGAACAATCAAGAAGAGCAAGCTTGTAGCGCTTGTAGGTCTACTACACCTGGATAATGTTCAGCTTGAAGTCGAGACTCTCAAATCTTTCATCCAATTCAAACTCGTCGCGCAAGTACTCCCAAATCTTCGCGTAATGCGCATGCTTCCATGCAGTGTCAGACCTGTTACGACCATGACATGACAGCTTTCATCAGCGTCATCGACAGGCTTCAAGACAATCAATCCACAGAGTGTTTCTCATCTGCATGGTTGTTTTCACTCCCAAGAGGCATACGCACAATTTGCTAGTCTGAAGGGGACACAGATTTCATAGAACAAGTTTTGAAATTTAGATAAAGTTGAAACTAGACTCTTGAGCCCGATTCCGTCAAAAAAATTCCAGTGTTTGGACCATTTGGTGGTCAACATTCTCTGCGCGGTTAAAACACTTTTAACCATGGTCAAAACACTTTTAACCATGGTCAAAACACTTTTAACCGCGGAGTACTCCCAAACGTTCGATAAAGATTGGGTCAACAAAACGGTTGCAGTGTTTTGACACATACCTTGGAAATTGTGATAACGACGTAACGTTGAAAATAGAGTCTTGAGGCAAACACACACAGGCTCTCGCATGCCCAGAAGGCAATCAGATGGGCATGGGGCAGAGCCTAAGAACTGACCAACGAGAAAGAGCAAAAGACAGCGCAGCAGAAAACTGATACACACAGATCTGACTCAAGCAACTCAAAAGAGCTCAGACTGACTGCAACGCACTCGTCATCATCAATCACGGGGAGAAGGCATGGTGCTGGATACATAGACGAAGAGCGCCGTGCCAGACAACATCCATGGATTGGAAGGAGGGAGAAGAGACAGCGGAGGAGGAGATATGGAGATGTCGTCAACTCAAATGTCTACCATGAGCGACAATTGCCGTGTCTGCGTCCGTGTGGTGTTCTGTGTGGTGTATGTCGAGTTGGACGCTACAGCCTTGCAGGGGTGTGGTGGATATTATGGTCGGTATGGTTCCACTTTTGAACACCGTGTCCTGTCCGTAGTGGTTACGATGCTCGGCTCTTGAGGTCGAGGTCACCGGTTCGAATCTGTGCTTGCACGGAGGAGGGCCTTTGGCCCACAGGCACGAACCTACAAACTACTCCCATGAAGTCTCCAAAAATAGTCCCCCAATGACTCTGTTCAATCGGTCTGAGTCCAATGTCCCCAAGTCTTGACTCTCAGAATCTCTCTCGCTTCGTAGAAGAAGACGACGAAGAAGAAGAAGAATCATAGGGAGAGAGGAGGAAGAGAAGTGGTGGAGGCGGTGGGAGACGAAGAAGACGAATCCTCTCGAAGTCGCCTGGAGCCAGCATACTAACCATCGTAAAGGTCTCTCCTTGACGCTGTGATGCAGGTGGAAGACGCCTGAAGACGAACAGGAGCTATGGCGCCAGGTAAGTTTGCAGGTAAGCCGCCCATAGCCTGGCCTCCGCCCCTCAACCTCCTACTCCGCTACTCTATCTACGCTCGACCGAATCAGCGCTGGCCAGCCGTGTGTAGTCCTCAACCTCTAACTCTGCGTGCCTAGAATGAGGCTGGCCCAGCTGCCTACTACAGTCTTCCCCCGAATACAACGTACGGTCATTATAGCTGAATTTGGTGTATCTTTCAGTCTAAATTCAGCTATAATGACCGTACGTTGTATTCAGGTGAAGACTGTAGTGCTAGGCCAAAGGAAGGCAAGCCTGGCGCCCTAACTGAATCCTAACCTGGCGCCCACTACAGTCCAAAACAGAAGGGAAAGGGCTGGTGCCAAAACTAAGACTGCAACTGGAACTGCCGCCCAAATGAAAATGTGGCAAACTGGTGCCCAACTGAATCTGGCCTACCATCTTCACCCAAAAATAACGCCCGGGCGTTATATTCAACTTACCCTAAAAAGATGAGATTTTCGCTTGTACTCACTTTTTTCAAATAGAATGCCCCTTCGAATAGAACGCCCAGGCGTTATATTTGAATTTGAATATGTCATGGGCAGAGTGCCTTGAATAGGTAGTATACACGAGTTTTAAAGGGCGGGGAAGGGGTTATACATGGGTTTTGAAGAGGGTTGAATGGAGTTTTGACTTCTTGAGTTTTTGTTTTTGTTTTTTTTTATTTCGAGTTTATGAGGAATTCTGAAGTGACCCTCAGCCAAACGTTGGTCGCATTGCAATCCTGGACAACATATTTTTTTAACAGAATTTTTTTATTTTTTTTTCCGGAATTTTGGGGCCTCACCGCAGTTACCACAAATTTACTGAATATAACGCCGGGCGTTATAAACGAGTATAACGACCGGCGGCGGGCGTTATATTTGTACACAACGCCTGGGCATTGTTTTCGGGTGAAGACGGTAGGGAACGGTCACTGGACCCGTATCGGTCCCACTCTGCAAGTAGATACACTCGGATTGGTGGGAAAACCACTGAACCCGCCCGAGTCAGGGACTCACGCCGGCCAGAAAAACAATGCTGAGTCCCAAAAGAATGAAGGAACCCCCTAACCGCCTAGTCAACCCCCTAACCTGCTACCGGGCGCAAGGGGCCCATGTGGTGCATACCACACCTGCTCTGAATCACTGTGAAGGACCCGGTGGTATAAATTCGTTAACGTGGTTAACAATGCCGACCATGCTGTGGTTAACTGAAGTCAACTGTAGTTAAGCGTGGTGAAAAATAAAGGTGGTCGCCCATTCCCACGGAACTTCTACCTGGCCTCAGCACCGTAGATTTTGGCCTGGTACCAGTAAACGAGTACAAGAAAGTGCAGGGGCTGTTGGACTGGTGGTTTAGCTCTGGAACTTTCTTGTCGCTAACTGCAGTCAAGTGCGGTTAACTGTGGTTAACTGCAGTCAAGTGCGGTTAACTGTGGTTAACTGCAGTCAAGTGCGGTTAACTGTGGTTAACTGCAGTCGAGTGCGGTTAACTGTGGTTAACTGTAGTTACATTCGGTAACTTGATGTGCATTCTTGATCGAAACGGAACTCCTGGACAGACAGAAAAACCGGGGAAAAAGTGTGGTGTTTGTGTATTCTGTGGACTTGCCGGGGAAAGGGACGGTTTGCCAAATTGGCACATAACGAGGGGACAAGTGTGGTGTTTGTGATAGGGAAAAAAAAAAAAAAAAAAAGGGAACGCGAACAGGACTGCTGCTCTCCAGAATAGAACAGAGCTGGGCCCGTCTTTGGGGAGGGGCGGGGGGGGGGATCCAATAAAAGGAAAAGGGACAGTTTGTACGGGAGTACAGACGGCCCATCCCCGTACGACGGGCCGACACTGCTGTTGATTCTCCAATTGAGCACAGGTTTTTCCCATTCGTGGTAAATCAAGCGTACTTCTGGAAACTTCTTCTGCGTGGAAAAAAAAAAAAGGTGGTGGGTAACTGTTGGTAAACCGGTTACGAGTTCAAACTGCAAACTGCAGACTCTGATGGAGTCTGATAAATCAGATGAACCCTGCACACCGCCCCCCCCCCCCCCCCCCCCCCCCCCCCCCCGGGGGGGGGTGGATAGGGGGATTGATATAGCAGGAGCCCTCTAAACATACACCCTTGTTCAACTCCTTTTGTTTGTGTGTTTTTCTCTGCGTTCCCTCCCCCCCCCCACCCCGCCCCCTCTCCCCCCCAAACTTGCCTTGCAGCTAAGGACCAGATTCAGTCGACTTCATTGACTATGGTTGTGCCAATCTTTCTGATGATTTACCTTTTTTGAAGTTCTGACTCTGATAGTTTTTTTTAAGCTTTTTTTAACTTGTTACGTTTTAGATTTCTAGTCAACCTTCTGGTTACCATTTGTTTTCCATTGAATTCGTCAAGATTGGTAGACGAGGGGCATGAGTGGTAGTGTAATGAGCCCGTCAAGTATGATCCATTGAATTCGTCAAGATTGGTAGACGAGGGGCATGAGTGGTAGTGTAATGAGCCCGTCACGTATGAGAAGCGATCACACAAATATCACAACTGCACGAAAATGGAACCACTCGTCGAAGCCCAGAACCGCAGTTCTCTCACAGAAAATCACTGATAAAGTCGTAAATTCGCATAATCCCTTTGCAGGTACCAGCTATGGCGCCCAACCTCCACCATCAAAGCTACCTATGGAGGTTGGCTCCAGTATCACCAGCATAGACGTAAGTCAAGGTAAGCTTCTCTCTCTCTCTCTCTCTCTCTCTCTCTCTCTCTCTCTCTCTCTCTCTCTCTCTCTCTCTCTCTCTCTCTCTCTCTCTCTCCACTCACAGTCCTGATCACCCGCTTCCTCACTCTCTCTAGATAGGTGGTTCTCTCCTTCCTCCCTGCCTCCTGTCACACTCACTGTAGCGCATCACTGTAGCTCGACACTTTAGCGCAACCCTGTAGCACGGCAATCTGTAGCACCAAACTGTAGCGCATCACTGTAGCCACGCACTGTAGCAGCACGAGGCTGAATGAATGAGCGACTGGGGCTGGCCTGTCTTTTGTAGCACTGATCGGTCTTGACTTGCCTCAGGTTGCCTCCTCCGATGGCCCAGATTTCTCGATCTGAACGGCCCAGATTTGCTGTCGCCCTCAATGTGCCTGGACCCAGTAGGCCCTGGAATCTTCTTGAACAAATGCAGGCGGCCCTTGATTGTGCATCTGATCTATGGCCGTGGTTGGCTGCTGAGAAATCTTTAACTCTTGGTCAGCTTTTCCCGGGTTGGACCTGACTCTTGATTTTCCAGGAGTCGAATGTCTCATCCTGTGGGGGCACATGTTGCCCCATTTGACCCCGGACGCTTTACCCCTTGACCCTAGGACTTTTTCTCAGACCCCCCTCTAGAGCTAGAGGCGCGGCTTTTGACCCCTGAACCTTTGACTTGGACCAAAAGTTGCGGCCCTGGCTTATGTCTGTGCGGATTTGAACCGAGCTCATTGCAGCAGCAAAAAGCAACAGTTTAATCATAGTTAATAACTTAATTGTAATGACCCGCCAAAAACACAGACTGAGAACACTGCTGATTTCTGGGATTTGCCGCTGGAATGAATGCCTTGCTGAGATTCCCGCGTTCGGCTGTGATTTCCATGTCTGTGTGTGTGTGCGTGCCTGTCTGAGTGCTTGTCGGCTGAGTGTGTGTGTGACCCGCAAGAATACTTGTTGGCTGAAAGGCCCCGCATGGCCGGTACTTACCTGTGGCCGTGACTTTGAGGGTTGCAGCGGGGAAAACACTCGAGTAGCGGGGGTAGGCCCACGAAACTTAGAGCAGAGGGGAAAAACACTCAAGTAGCAGGTAGGCCGGTACCACTCAAGTAGTGGTAGAAGTGTCGGGTACTGGAGGCCGAGCAGAAGAAGACAAAAAGATGGCATTTTTAGAGGCCAGTAGCTGTAGGCTAGAGGTAGGCCGGTACCAGTCCAAGTAGCCCAGGTCTAGGGCCTGTCCGGACGATAGCAGAGCCTGCAATGATGTTTCCCTCCGAAAGGGAGGAGGTACCGGTTGCTGGGAGGCCGCTCGGCCTAGGAAGTCACCACCCAAGAGGCCAGTAGGCCGCTATATCTTCCGGAGGAGCAAGTAGCTCCTCCTCATTTGCGGTATGCAAGGATTGGCGACATGCTGCTGGAGCACAGCGCTGGACTGGTACAGCGCTGCCTGGAGGTGAAGGGCAGCTGGGCGCTCAGCCTGGCTATGGCGAGCAGACCAGCCTGAGGAGGAGGAAGAAGGGGGGCGAAGGAGGAGAGTGGCAAGGCACCTACCTGGCTATGGTGGACACCATCTTCATCACCTTGTTGGGCGCTGCATCTGGAAGGCCCCAGTTGGGGTAGTGCCGCACCAAGGAAGCTCGAGGCAGAGTCAGGCATGGCAGATCAGTCAGCAGCGGCATAGCTGCTTTGGGTTGTCCTTTGGACAGGAGTGCAGCGCCATAGCTGCTTTGGGTTGTCCTTTGGACAGGAGGGCAGGGCCCTCAGTAGTCCGCCATAGCCTAGGCATGTGAGAGGAGGAAGAAGGAGGGAATCCATAGCTATGGTGGACTTTTTTGTTGTTGTTGTTGTTGTTGTTGTTGTTGTTGTTGTTGTGTCAGCAGTAAGAGGGAACTTCGGATATTGATTCTGGTTCATCCACTCGTTGTTATTATTATTATTTGGAGAAGAATAAGCTTGGCGAAGTGAAGGAGGAGGAGGAAGGTGGAGAGAGAAGGGGGGAATTGTCATTGGTCTTGCTGGTGAACATCTTCTTCTTCTTCTTCTTCTTCTTCTTTCTCTCTCCTCTGGTCTCTATCTCTTTGTAAGTGCTTTCATTTCTTTCGCAATTGGGTGGCATTGTCTTTCATTGTGAATAATGACCAGGATCGTAACATAATATATGAAATGAAATTATGAATAAAAGTTTCAATATATATGAAATCATGAAAAAAAGTTTTAATATATATGAATATTATGAAATTATGAGTAAAAGTTTTTCAATGAGGTGTCTACGAAATGTAATGAATAAAAGGATCAACAGAATGCATAAATTTTACTAAATTATTATCTATTGAAAATTCAAAAATGTCGCTGCAAATTGCAATACAATACTTCTCCCAAGAACCATGAGTAGAGAGTGCATGCACGCATAAATGAATTATAAAATCAGAAGATAAATGCAAATATGAGAGACAACAAAGTGAGAAATTCCACATACGACTTTTTAACGAGTTTTTATATAAAAAAGGTTTATAACTTTATAAGCTTATAATAGTTTATATATTAGCAGATCTTAGGACCAATGAGTAGAGAACTTTAGAAAAAGTGGAAAATGCAGTCACATGAACAGAGGATAAGGTCAAGAGTAGGGAGACAGTTACTGATGAGAATCTTTCTTGCTGTGATGAGCATCTGTGTAGTCCAGTCCTAAATGATGCACTCCATACTCGGTCATCACCCTGAGCTTCAATCAGAGGATCAGATGATTCAGAAACAGTGGAGAGCAAAGTACACAAAGCCAGAATCAGTCTAGAAAACAAAATGCTGACATCGTTTTCTCGTGTGTCCTTTTAGATGCGGAGGTCAAAACTGAGGAAAAAATTGTCTGCTTCTTCTTCCTCCTCCTCCTCTTCTTCTCTCTGCTTCTCGAAATGCCACCCCATGGCACATCCAAAAGTCATTTCCCTCTCTTCTTCTTTCTCCTCGTCCTCCTCGTGCTACTCTTCCCTCCTCTGTTTCTCGTGCACATCAAAAGTCCCTTCCCATGTCTTCTTCTTCTTCTTCTTCTTCTTCTTCTTCTTCTTCTTCTTCTTCTTCTTCTTTTCTACTTTTCTTTTCTTCTTCTTCTTCTTCTTCTTCTTCTTCTTCTTCTTCTTCTTCTTTTCTTCTTCTTCTTTTCTTCTTGTCTTCATCTTCTTCTTGGTGGTTGTTATTGGGGTCTAGGTTTCCTTCTTGTTCCACTGTTGGCGTGCATCAGATCTCAGTGCATCACCAAGCATCCCGGCACCAAGAAACTGATCTGGGGGCAAGCCCCAAGAGAAAGAAGAAGAAGAAGAAGATAGCACCCAGATTTTGGTGTACCAAGAATCGGTCTCGAAAAATGCATTGGCTCTTTTTTGAGTTTTTTTTGGGTCATTGTTGTCATTAACAGGTCGAACGAGCCATCAAGTGGTCCACCAAGAATCGCTGCCCGCCACTTCTTGTTTGTCTTCTTCTTCTTCGCCGTCTTCTTATTCTTCTTCCTCCTCCTCCAGCTCCTCTTCTTCTTCCTCCTCCTCTCCTTCTTCTTCTCTGTCTTCTGCTTCATCTAGTAGTTCCTCTTCTGCTTCTTCTGCTCCTTCTCCTTCATGTTCTTCCTTCTCAATGCCAATCACAGTATAACAAAATGAAGGAGAAGGAGCAGAAGAAGCAGAAGAAGCAGAAGAGAAACTATTAGAGGAAGAAGAAGACAAAGAAGAAGAAGGAGAGGAAGAGGAGCACTGAGATTCCACGTTCCAGATTGAAGACAGACAGAATAAAACGAAATGAAGTGTATACTCCCAACCAAACTCCTTAGTTCAGATCAGATTGGGCCATTCAGATGGCGTTTGGATGATCTAGATTCATTCTAGACTCTGGCTCTGCAGTGGCTGTGATCAATACTCAGGATCTCCTCCTTTGTCTTTTTTTTCTTCTTTCCCCCCCCCCCCCCTTTTATGTGTGTCATCCTTGCACAAGGGCCATGCTAATCTTCTTTCTCTTTATCGTTCCAAT